AGTGTTCGTGTGAATTGAACGGATGTGTGTGTGTGTGGTGTGAATCAGTCCCCCCAGAACCCAAAGTGGTTATTCCTTATAATTCCAAAATGTCTTCTAGCTAATGATTCATCCATTTTCTAAACTACTAAACCTGTGTCGGGTTGGCAGTTCACCCTATCCGACCTATCCCAGCATGCACTTGGCGAGAGGCAGGGTACAATCTGACACACATATTACAATAGACAGACAAACCATTCACACTCGCAATCACACCTACGGGCAATTTAGAGTTTCCAGTTCACTCGATGTGCACATGTTTGGACTGTAGGAGGAAACCACAGCGGCCAGAGGAAACCCAGATGAGCAAAACATGCAAACCCCCATTCAGAAAAATCGGATTTCAACCCAGGTCCTTGTCAATATCTGATCGGTATCGACCCGATAGGGTGTGTTTAGAGTCACTTATATAACTGTCAAGTATGGAAAGCTGCCATTGAATGCCTCATCAATCATTGAGTCTTAAGTTAGTGAAAGATTTCCTGATTTAAATCATAACGTTTTAAAGTTTAGACTGTATTTTATCAGGCAAAGTAAATTTGTCTTGTATTGTTAATGAAAACAGGGTTCCCGCTCTTTTTTAAGAAATCATTTTCCAGGACATTTTCTTGACAATTCAGGACACCAGTTGCTCATACACATATAGCCATATACAGTATCTATAGCATAATTTACCAGTAGGCCTAGCATTGACTTTAACTCCAGTTTTATGCCTCATTTTATAATGATGAGTCTCTGTGTGGTTCAATAAGACGTCAAAAAGATCGACGCAAGTCTGTGACACTTCGCATCTGGTGTGAACAGCTAGACTGACTGACACCGGGCCAAAATAAAACAGGTGTATTTAAAACTTTTTTCCATTCCACTTCACTGTCTGGTTAACCCACTTTCAGGTGTCACAGTTTCAAAACCCAAATACGCACCTAGGTTCATTGAGATCTGAGCGAGGGGCTAAAATACAATAAACATTTATCAGGAAAACATATTGTTTCCAGGATATTTGGTCATTTTAATCAATGTCCAGATTTGTTTTTCAGGAGGCGAAGGAACCCTGGGAAAACCGTATCACTTGGTATCAGGTACCTCAGGTATGATTTTAGCACCGCTGTTTGTTCAAATTATACATTTTTAAATATGTCATAAACAGTGGAGATCAAAGGTACTTTGGACTGTGTAAAAACTGATTGAACCTAAAAACAATGTGGTGTCTTCTGGTGGTGATGGCAGCAGTAAACCTACCTCCTCCTGCGGCGTTGGTGTGAACTCAATGGAAGGGGGACGAGCCACAGACAAGATGGAGCCCGGCAGGGAGACGTTGGACAGTCGTCTCTTCTTCACGCCGCTGCAGTTGTTGGGGATCTTGAACGCACACCGTTTGTGGTAGTTCAGTCCACATCCTGAGAAAGGAGAAAATCATGTCCGCCATCTTAGTTTAGCATGTTAAAATGCTAACAGGCTGCTGCCCTCTTATTATAATTCAACTGCAACCACAAAAACGGCAGCAAATGACAGTCGGGGACAACAAACAACGGTTGTGAAATGTCATATTGTTAAATGTCCGACCTGCTCTATTTGGCTGCTCTATGAGATTATACTAGGTGGTTAGCCTGTGGTGTGCAGACTGGTAGGATCAAAGTTACGTAAAGTGCTTCAAAGGTGTTGGTAGGTGTATTTTTGAACCTGTGGACAGAGTCAGGCTAGCCATTTCCCCCTGCTTCCAGTCTTTATGCTAAGCTAAGCAACTCTAGTTCCACACATGAGACTGGTATCGATTTTTGCACCAAAGTCTCAGAAAGACAAAAGACATTTATCTCCCAAAATGTCAAAGTCTTCTGTTAAGATTTTCTTTATTTTTTCATCTTTTTTACTTCTTCTCGTAATTTGGAAACAACCTTTTTATACACTGCGCTAACGTCTCTCTCACTCCCACTGTCGGCCGGTAATAAAGCCATGTGCTTCCTCTGGTTGACCCGCCAGAGAGGAGCTTCTCTGGGTGTCTCAACTCTGTGAGGAAACCATAGCCAAAATGCAGGTACGTGAATTTTAAAGGAGGTCAGAATGTGGCCTCAGGTTACCGAGGTTGTTTACCAGATTAGAAGCTTCAATTGTTTACAAATGACAAAAGTCCTTCACCTCCCATCAGTCAGAGTGAGTGGGCAGATTCCTCTGTCAGTGTGAAAAGTAGCTTTAGTTATATAAGCGGAAGCCGTATTCCTGCGCCGACTGCCGCTCGGCTTGCTCAGAACATCAAGCGTCTCTTTTCTCCGCTTGGCATCACAACAGTTAAGATTCTCTCTGAGGTTTCTGAGCGCTGAGATCAGAACTTGAAAGATGTGAAAAATAGTCGCAGGAAGTCACAGAGTCAATGAAGACATCCTGCTGTAGAGCTGCTGCAACTTTTAGGCTTGAAATCCAGTGTGTGTGTGTGTGTGTGTGTGTGTGTGTGTGGACATGTGCCTGGGCCTTGATTCGTAGGTGACGACTTGGTCAGTTTGGACATGGCAGGAATCAAGCCGAGGCTGAACCCTGAGGAGCCACTAAACACAGCCTCAGAGAGAATAAAACTTGATTAAATGTAATAAAACAATCATGACATCAAGCTGCATTAGTCCAAGAAGCTGAATGTTCTGTTTTTCAGGGGATAGAGGTCATGGCAATCAAGTTTTATACGTTTAAAGATCCGTTTTCAGTTATTCATCGTGGTGCAGCGACAGTCGCTCAGAGGGGATGACGTGCAGCTTCCTATTCGTTTCTGTTACACTCATTAAAATTTGATTTCTCTTACATCACCACAGAAACACTGGCAGCACACATCACTTCCTCTCATAAACTTTAATTGAGCGGAAGCTTGTCTGAATTGTTTTAAATACCCAGATATCCTGACAATCCTTTTCTGAGTAAACTGAAATGTGATCTGTGTGACACCTCTATTTATGTTTCTGTATTTCTGTAGCTCTCTGTTGATGTCAGTTTCACCATTACATGTTTTTGCGGTTTCAGAAAAAATGGCCACCATACAGAAGATAAACTCTTCTGTTTAAGGAAACAACATGACCATTCCTCTAGCAACATAAACCTTACATTACTTTACTTACTGATGGTAAAGATAAAATGGGTTCTCTCAATTTTTATCCACCCAACTGTTTTGTTTTGCAGCATTTAATTAGTATTACAGCCTCATGGAGTCACTGGTGTGGGTTTTTATTAATTATGATTTACAGACTGGCCCAGATAGTTATCTAGAGCATCAAGCAACTGAATGTGATTTGTACTGACTATAATTAAATTAGTGGAAGCTGCAGATCTACAGTCGTACAAATGAGGAATGGAGGATACTTTAAACCAGCTCCTTTTTTTTTTTTTTTTTTTTAACATTGCATTCCTTTTGGTAGAAATTAAACCTCTCTTATACAGCATGAAACAAAAAAAGAATGGACCCAACTGACCCTTCCTAAGTCCTGCTCCAATAACAGCTGAGGAAGCCTCGGTCAAAAGCGCGGTCATCTTTTTTTAAACCATCTTCAAAATGCGGCTGTCTTTTTAACATAGATGAGCACAGAGTATATCTGAGTTGAGACAAAGTTTAAAGTTAAATGAGGTTCTGACTGAGGCTGGTTCATTGACAGTATGTAATTAGTGGACAGAGCTACTGGGTCTGTGAAGTGAAGCCAAAGCGGAAGGGTCTTAAACCTGCATTATTTCTAATAACCAGCAGGGGGCGGCTCCATGGGTTGTCAAAAAGAGTAGTTTGGAGTCTTATGTAAAATCGACCCTCACTTGATTTATTAGCTCAGTAAACAGTTTCCTAATGAGTTTAAGGTCTTAATCTCTAGGTTTTATTCCATACATCATGATGTTCATTTGGTAAATTATAGTCCTGTTTAGAGGAAAATAGACAATAAAGCAAGGTATGCTTTTGGACGTGTCTAACCTTGCGATTGATAAGTCATTCTCAGTGAGTCCATCCAGTGTCCAAACTGTCAAACTAGGCGGTGCCGATCAAATATGAATCAAGATTCTGTCACAGTGTTGCCTATTTGTCGCCTAAAATCTTTTCAGAAACATATTTTAAGGCACTGTTTATCTGAAATATGAGAACGTGTGTGTGACCAGGCAAGCTGCCATTGTTCAATGCCAAACTCAAGGCTTTAAAACAGTACTCCACAAACCAATGGGTGACGTCATGATAGGTTCACACTAATGCTTGCTCAACTGTTATTGGACAAAAAAGCAAAAAGGGGCGAGACTTATGTTCAACCAAAACAACCTAATTTGTAGCTTGGTAATACTATAACATCCACTCACATAACCGGAAGCATTTCTAATCAACTCCAAATTTATGATTTGATCTTAATGTAATGCACACTTAATGTGCTTCTCTTCAGTTTGAACACAGTCAACAGTCTGTTCATTCAGGATATATGTGACTGCAGGTGTAAACCACAGCAGCCATCGTAACGTGATGTAAATAACCCAGTCGCAGCGAAAACCTCCGACGTTGCAGAACATCGTTACCACATTTTTACCTTCACATTTGAGGCCCTGTCTGACGAGCCCCCACAGCATCTCCCCACAGTCATCGCAGAAGGCCGGCGCCTTGTAAGAGTGAACGTACAGCGTGTGAGGTCGGATCTGGAAGTCCTCGGCTGTGGCCAGAGCTGAAAATAAAAAAAACACACAGAGCAGTCAAACAACAAACAACAACATGGGACGTTTTCCATCCTGCAACTGGTTTGAAAGAGGATGCTGAGAGATGCCGTCACTACAGCCTCTAATTATTTTATTTGTTGACCGTTCTTTTATTATCTTCTGTATATGGCGATATCCACAATCAAGTTGTGCTGCTGCTGATCTGTTTAAAAAATGCCTTGATGGGCTTAGGTTGTGACTCCAATCCTGCAAATCGGCTAAAACTCAATTCAACTTCTTTAATGTGGCTAAAGAAGGTAAAAAATTAAATCCTTAAAACTCAATCCAGTCCAGGCCTGAAAGAAAATTTATCCTCAGCATGAACCAAAAACATAGCATACATGTAAATGTGTGATGTTAATTCACATCTCAAAGATTGTGTGATACAATCATGGAACAGCTACTCCGTGGACCTTGTATGTTTTATCAAACAGCGCAGCAGAATTTAAGTGAACCACCAGAGAAATGTCACTTTTTCTATATTGTGTCTAAACTGAGCACAAGGCTGTTTTACTTGGAGCACAATAGGTCACCATAAACAAAGTACTGTAAATGGATCAGGTTTTACATACATGACAGTGATCCATGGATCAGCCCTGATCGTTATCCCAGTCCTAACACACCGCCTGAGGACATCCCCAAAGATTAAATCTACAGTATCTCAGTGATGCTATTCTTGTGTGGCTTGTACCTTTGATTCTATATACAGGACACCTCAGAGGCATTTTGGATGGGGTTAGTGCGTGTACGCTGGAGGCTGAAAAAATACGCAGCGACCTGTGGCGGAAAAGTTGAAACCAAACCAGTTAAACTGCTCCACAATCAGCCTGGAACTATGATACTCTCCCAGTTGTGTCTTTGGTTTATTTGATGTAACCAGTTTCAACATCTGTGCCTGGCTGTCAGTCTCTGTTGCACAACAGCGACACCAAGAAGCTTCCTTTGGTTTATGTCTGTTTTGTTTGAGCAAGAGAGAGAGACTGACAGACAGCTGTGGTCGAGCTACATAGACAGTGAATGTCTACTATGTGCTTTTATGGCCTTTAATTGAGAGTCTCAGTGGTAGAGGGACAGGAAAAGGGGAGAGAGAGACAGAGAGAGAGAGAGAGAGAGAGAGAGAGGGAATGACACGCAGCAAAGGGCTACAGGTCAGGTTCGAACCCATGGCTGCTGCAGGAAGGACTCGGTCTTCGTACATGGGGAGCCAGCTATACCAGGTGAGCTAACAGGGACCAGGGTACATTTTACAGCAATCCATCAAGTAGTTTTTGAGATATTTAACAGTGTCAACCTCACAGTGGCCCAAGAGGGAAGGTCAGGGGATCATCAAAGTCATTAGGATAAATCATCTAAGAAACATGAACGTCTGGACCAAAATTAATGGAAATCCACCTAATACTTGAGAGATTTCAGTCTGGACTAAAGTGCTGGAACCACTTACAGACCGACATCGCCATCCCCTAGCTGGCTCTCTGCTACAAGTGAAAACACAGTGTAGCTCCCTGCTATCTGTTATCTAATCTGTTGACCCTTGTGTGAAAAAGAGATGACCTTATAACAGACAGATATGTCAGTGTGAGTTTGACTGTCAAAGAATGATTGGTATGCTTTCTTTTTCAGAATCTGACAAAACAAATTTTGAATAAAAAATGTGACAATGTCAGTTCACATGTTTCATATTCTGTTCTGTATCTGTGAATCTGTTGCTACACACCCAGATCAATCAGATTGATCATGATTAAAGCTAACATTTGTTTAGTGCTTGGTCAATCGTTTTGTCCTTAATGAACTCCCATACGTTTGTCCCCTGACATATAATCCCTCTCTGGGGCCGGTGTGGCTGTAGAAAACTGTCACTGTCATTTTCATCAATATTTGTATTTGTAACATTGGAGAGGTTGTGATTATTGCAAGTTTTAAGCAGTTGTAATTGTGAAGACTAAAGGAAAAACATATGAGTGACAAAAGACCTTATCTAAAGCTTCTCTTTGTAGCCAGTTCTCCAAAGCATTTTCAGGCAAGAGTTGTAAGGTGCCTCCACTGTTCTACTAACAGAGGCAGATACACTAATCGAGAGATAAACTCGATGCGCTCTGCAGGGTTGTGCAGCAGCAGCAGCAGCAGCAGCAGCGGCAGCAGGAGGACGAGGAGGAGGAGGAGGAGGAGGAGGAGGAAGTGGTCGTGGGTCTGAGCCCGATGCGGTTCAGGCTGTGACTTTGTTTTCTTCCTCCCGTGTAATCTAAACCTGCCGCTGCTCTGTGTCTGGGTGTTCAACTGTTAAGGTGTCAGTTTTAGTTTTTACAACCCAACCTGTCGACACGACTCAGGAAATGACAATCCTATACACAATATTATGGTTACAGCATGCAGGGTGACCCGGGGCGGCGTTGCGGTGGAGGAAACAAGATCTAAGGCGACCTCAACGCTCTCACTCAGAGGTGGATTAACAAGAGAGCTGGAAGAGGAGCAGAAGCGAAGACAAAACAAACAATGAACAATAAATATGTAAAGTGCCTCAAGTTGTTACTGCTTGAAACTCTCCAACTGTTGAATGGTCACAGGTCCCATCCTGCAATGCCAATGTGCACAAATAAATACAAATAAATGTACTTCTACTAATAGTGACAATCAAATCTAACAAAATCTTCTTCTTGGATGTTTGCAGCTGATAGCTGTAGTAGAAATCTTTAGAAATTAACACAATTTCCATATTCACAGCTTCTGGTATTTCTTATAAGGCAGAAGGAGTAGATTGCCTTTTTAAGGGCGAGGAAATGATACTTTCTGTGGATTAAACACATCAGACACACACTGTAGTTCCAAGAAGACTATTTTTGTACGTGTCTTATAACATGTCTGGAGGGCTATCTTTAATTTGTTATTTTAAATCCATACATTTGACAAGAAACCAAATAAGGATTTTGTACATACCGGTTAATTTTAGTTCATTTTCACTTTTATCAACGTTAGCTGCAGTTTGGTGCAGACTAAAATATCTCAACAACTATTACATGCATTACTATGACATTTATATATATATATAGATGCATATATATAAAGATGGATGACGCATCTCCACTTCCTCCCACTGTACGAAAATGCAGCCAGAATACTGCAGATACAGACGATTGTTCTGCTGATGTCGTTTGGAGCAAGAGTCTGCGCAGTAGTGATTGGAGGTTGGCACAGCGGTATCGAGGTCCCACCAGACAACACCCAACAGAGTCAATAGTGACGTGAAACACCCTTTTTTAAAACATCAACACAAAAACCAAACAACAAACACTTGAACATACATCAGCATGATAAGAACTACCTAAAATGATTTGGGGGCTCCAGTAACGTAACGCCCCATTAATCCTAATATTGTAGGAGCTCTGATGCTGGGGGGTTGAGTTCCTGATATCAGGGTCAGAAGCAAGAAGCTAATTGGACCGATGAGGAGGATGTAGACTTACAGGCAACAGGAGTAACTTATTATTAAAGAAATAATTAAAGAAATAATAAATCAATAAATAAATAAATAAGAGCTTCTTACCGGAGAGCACCACTTCGACCAGGTCGCCTTCATGGATCTCCTCGGCTGAGGTCAGACGCTGCAGGATGTTGTCCGAGTTCAGGTCGTGGCGGAAGAGCAGGATCTTGTCGTACATCCCGAAAAATCCGCATTCAGGGAACTGAGGAAGAGGAGAAGGAAGAGTAGGTCAGGGATTAATTCAGTCCCTTAGTTAAACAATTTCCAGCATTAAAACAAGCCAAAAATATGACAACATGTATCTTTAAGCAAATTTCATGCCAATTATTTTATTAGATTATGAGACTTGAGAAAGTTTGACCTGGGGGTGGCGCTACAGACACAACTCACAATTCATTTCAAATCAAGTCATAATAACACAGCAGGCAATGCTAACGGTTGTTGTTTAAAAGCTGCAAGGAAAACAGCGATCTAAACCAAAAGGTACTGCTGCAACCTGCTGACCTCTGACCCCTCAATGAACCATGAATGTCCAGACAGCAGCTTGTCCTCAGCTACATTTCTACTGAAAAGGAGGTTTTCATTGACACGACTTTATTTTTGGTGACGGTCCAGCCTGTTCCTGAAGTTAACAGTTACCTAACCTTTTCATATGAGTAACACATGATGTGTGATGAAACACATTCAGAGAAATACCACACTGGGAAACTACCAGCAGCCAAACTCTGCTGAAATATATTTTCTACTGTGGCTGCTGAATCAGTTTCCACTGCAAACGACCAACCACCATTTACTTTCTGCTTTTTAAAAAAGAAATTAGATTTTCTGGTTGAAACGCCACAAGCTGCTATGGTTTTATGTTCCAAAACACGAAGGTTTCCCAGCTGCTACATCCTCTTTATAAAAGAACCTTAAACACCATGTAGGTTCAAGTCTGGGTCGCTGCCCTTGTCACATATAATTCTCTTTCTGTTTACTTTCCTGCCATCCACAGTGGGAGATCATTTTACAGCCAAATGTTCTGGTCTACTCCGCAGGTAGCAGAAAATATAATGCGAAACACGGACAAAGCGACAGTCAGGTAGGTGTATGAATAAGTTAAGAGAGGCAGTTCCCTTAGCTACTCAGTTTAAGGGAGCATCACTGCAAATGAATGCTGCAAGACTGGGAATGATCCCTGAGTACTACAATAACTCATATTTTTCACTTGAGTAGAGGAAACCAATAACTGCACACTGGCTTAAAATAGACACACCTCCCTTCCCTTCAGTGTGGAGGAATTCGAGGCATCTAGCGGTGCAGTTGCAGCCTGCAACTCCCTCGCTTCACTACCCCTTTCCAAGCATGAAGGAGAAACTGTGATGGCTTTGTTTATCCACTTTGGGTTACTATAGAAACATACACAGTATTTGATACGTAGTAGTTTTTCTACCTTCTAGAGAACAATTGTGTTCCAGTCATTTCTTTAGAATGGTCAAGTCAATAAGCAGACTCTTGAAACATGCTCGAGTTGCATAATCCATCACAGTTAACATCAAATATGTAATTTTTGACTAAGTTACATTGTCATTAAGTGGTTATGCAGCTGAAAGTAAGTAAGAATGTATTTGAAAGGTCTGCACTGCTTTTTCTTTTATTTACCTGGACAATATCACTAAAACACTATAGCATGGTTTGCAGTAAATCATTCGAAGTAATTGGTCCTTTAAGGGGGTTTTTTTAGTTGTTCCCTGGCCCTCATGACTCAACCTTCCTAGGTACCACTCCTTTTTTTGTTTATGACTCAAACTTTATTGAGTTTTAATTTTTGCAACAAACAAACAAAGGCAAAATTAAAATACACAACTGTATGTGTTGATAATGAAATATCAGAGTGAGGGCACTAAAATAAAATAATAAGGAGTTATATTTAAAAGAAAAAAAGAAATATTTATAGTATGTATGTGTATATATACATACACACAATATAAAAAATAAAATAGACAGTCCATGACAAGAAAAATTTGTCCATGCACGACATGTTAAGCAGTCTTGGTACCAGTGCATTTTTAAGTGCGTCACAACAATTCTGGGCCTGAACTTTCTCAGAAATAAAGTCTCAGTGTTTGATGGACAGTCACTTGAAAGATTTCATACGTACAATTTGACAAAAAAATCTAAAAACCTCATATAATTTTAATTAAATTGACTAAATAGTTTTTAGTTTTCAGTGAATCTAGACTGAAACTAAGAGTATGTACTTTTATGGCAAGGTGAACGGTGTATGTTGTTGGTAAAGTGTGTGTACTGGATTTGGGGTTCATCGGCAGTCTCTGCAGCCTGCAGACAGGCAGGTGAAGCAGCTTCCTGCCCTGAGCCGCTCTCTGTGTTAGCAGGATGTTAGCAGTGTGCAGGTAGCATGCAGCATGGATCCTGCAGCGCACACCGACAGCAGGAAACCAGGTGCCAAGGCACACACAATACACAATACACACACACACACACACACACACACACACACACACACACACACACACACACACACACACACAAAATGTCCATCATGAATTATGGCTGAAGTCTCACTGACACCCAGCCGTCATTAGCCATGTGGCTACACACCAGCGCTCAAACAAATAGACAGTGACAGATGGAAACAGTCACTCTGTTATTTCTGCACTGGAAGAGTTCCCAGCAGTGGAGGACGAGCTCAGTTGTGCTGACCTGGGACGGTACTCTCCTTCGAACTAAAGCACACGAGTGGACTATGAGGGCACAGATACGTGAAACACAGCAGCAACACACCCAGACTGAAGGAGAGGCAATAAGACAACAAACAACATGGCTGCGATTGTAAGAGACATGCCTTTGTGGTTGTTTTTTGCATTTCTTTGTGGTCATTTTGTCTCCAGTTATATTGCCTCTAACATCTTTATCATTTATCTGGAGTCTGACACATTCAACAGAAGCTGTTTCTAAGCATTACACCATCTCTCTTTGTCTCTCATTCTGCCGCAGCTCTGAAACTATGACAAAGCAGGAAGCTGTAAAGAAAAAAAAAAAAAATCCTCCATGAGGCCAGAGTGAGGTCTGAACCAGAAGTGAAAACGCTTCTTTTCAGCTGCCATGACGACGCATTTTGGCTCCGTCCAATCACGTTAGAGCCCGTCGTCAGCTGCATTCTCTGAGGTGAGCAGAGAAACACACTAAGAGTTCTGTTAATGGACAAGAGTGTGTGTTTAATACACACTGATCCCCTCTTTATGGTTAATCCTCCATTAACCAGGCTTAACCTCCACGCACCAACACACAATCCCTTTCTGTAACTCCCTCACCAAACTGAAGCCACATTTCTGAATACCCACACAGTCTAGTTCTGGATGTCAGGATCGCAGAGGTCACAACCTCCAGGCCCTGTCGTGACCTTTGCCCCCGACGCAGGAGCTGGAGCTGGAGCCGGAGACGAGGGCTGAGAGATGTCTATGTCTCTAACTTTAGCCTATGTTTTTTTTTTTTTACCGAGTCAGGGCGGAGGGATATCCATCACCTCTTAATCTGTGCAGCACTCATGCTATTATCAGAGAGACTAAGTGTTCATGGAGCCCAATAATCCTGGTTCTAAAAAGGGAGGACAGCACCCTTAACATCCAGCCCATGAACACATACACACAAAAAAACATAATCGCTTCAGGAAGTTTATGTAAAACATTAGTTATACGGGGCGTCCTAATAGCTCACCTGGGGGAGCTGGAACCCCTGTAAGGCTGAGTCCTCGCTGCAGCAGCCATGGGTTCGACTCTGACCTGTGACCCTTGGATGCAGGCCATCTTCCTCTCTCCCTCTCCTGTCACTCTTCAGCTATCACTATCAATTAAAGGCAATAAAAGCCCCAGAAAATATATATATAAAAAAAACAAAAAACAAACATTGTTTATACGTATCCAAATTTTACATTTCTGGTGTGAAACGTAAAGTAAAGGAGGGAAAGAAATTCCAAAATATTCCTATAGTCAGATCAGGGTGATATGAAAACAGCAGACTACCGCCATGCTGGCAAAACTGTCGCTCTGTGGAGTAACGACTCATCTTCTGATTATTTCCTCAATTGATTGATTAATCTCTAAAATGTCAAAAAAAATAGTGAAAACGCACAATTAAAAAAAAAAATATTGGTTTTACTATCAGTCCCCACAAATGAGAAGCTGGAACGGAATGTTCGAAAACAAAAAAAAATCAGAACGTCCACTCGATGACTGATAGTGCCACCCGCGAGCTAATCACACATTGTTCCATTATACAAGTTATTACTTGATGTTCTGAACAGGAGCCTCTTTAATTAAATGCGTGGCATTTACTCTGTGATGAAGCGCTTCTCCCTGACAGTTAATGTTATATTTCATTAGACCTTCGTAATTTCTTCTCACATTAGGGAAGGTGAGGCTTGACTGGCGGCGAGGCGATAATATCTTGTATGAAACCTTGAATTAATTAGTTTATTCATTTTATATTTTATATGAGACAGCGTGTTATATTTAAAAAACAACATGTAGCTTTACAATATACATCATTTTATATGATTACAATTATTATTATTATTATTATTATTAAAAGTATCAAATAATAAAAATAGCCATCATTTTCTTTTAATGACAGACAGACAGACTGACAAACAGCAGCTTATCATCTAACAGCTGGTTATAAAAACACTTGAACCGGCAGCGATGGGAAGAGCACAAACAGATAAAACAGCCGCTGTCTTCCGCTGCAGAAAAGCTAAGAGCCTTTCCGCTCCAATAAAACTCTTCAACTCTTTCGCCGTACGCGTGCAATTAGCCTGCAGGGACAACGCTAAAAGGGACTGATGTGAAATATGAAGGTAAACAGCAGCAGCGCCTGTTTTCCCCCTGCATCCGCTCGCTCTGTCACCTCGCTCAGGAAACAACAGGAAGCAGCGCTGAGTGGGTCAAGGTTATCACTGTGTGTGAGTGTGTGGGAGTTTCATTCATCCACTTGTTAAAAGGCTGAAATCACAGCTGGAACAACAACACACGCCTCAATTTCAACGTGTGTTTCATCAATAAAGAAAAGTGATTTTACAAACTGAGGTAGCACTAAAACACAAAAGGCTTATCTAATGTAAATGGAGAGACTTTTAACCTCCAACATATGGACATTGGATCAAAGATGTTGGAGAACATCCGCCGTTTCATTATGGTGCTTCTT